AGCAGTAGTCTTTACTAGTGTAAAACAAAGATGTACAGTATTTATTACTGGAGTGATTAATGGTAATGTCTATCCATGAGAATTTGAGAAATGCATTGATTAATTGCATATTATTTATCTCTCTTATCAGTTCATCAGATGGAAGTACATAGACATCATAAAAGGCAAAGGGAAAAACTAACAATAGTAAAACAATACTGTACATTGTCCTAATCTTTATCCTGTGTGCCAATTGTCTCACATTTTTGGAAAGTGTGTAAAAAGAATAAAAAGATAAAGATTCCTCATACTTAAAAAGAAATAAAACTTCTCTTAACTGTGCAGCCGTTACACCTCTCTTGCGCAAGTCATTGTGTGCTTCCTTTGGTTAGTAAACACTCTGTGTCTGTTCTCCCTCCAAGCTGGTGACTCAACAGATGATCCACACCACCAGACCTTGTTGGAAGTTGTTTTTTGTGTTGCTGTTAGGACTGAGCACGGGTCTCTTAATGTTGTCATGTTGGATGTTGAGCTGATGTGCTTCTCTACTCTTCCCCCTCTCGGGTGCTGCGATCAACGGGTTTCACGCACATGTTGGGTCTGTCCGTCTCCCCGTTTCTCTGTTTCTGTCTCTCTCTGTTTTTCTCTGTCTCTGTCCGTTTCTCTGTTTCTCTGCCTCCGTCTCAATCTCTCTGTCTGTCTTTCTCCTTCTGAGCTCTCTGTTTGGGAAAGTTTTGCAATGTCTTTGCTTCCACTGTCTTTTGATATGTACTTTTGGAATGTAGTTTTTCCAAGGCAGATGAAAGAGAATTTTTTTGTTAAAGATAAAAGGAAGAAAAAAGAAAGGAAGTTGAATGATTAAAACAGAAAACAAGAATAATGTTACCAGGGAAAGGAGATACTTATGGTCAGATTAATCCTTTGGTTGAAATCCTCTTTAGAAGGCTGGTTGGGGGGGAATGTTACAAAAGAGAAAAAAAAAAAATCGACATAGAGCAGTTCAGAGTTGGAATTAAGTTTCTCTTAAATTTTGATTGTCACATAATAATTTTAGAATTCTGAAAGTTGCAAATTGTAAAAATCCTTAATTTTGAAAGTAAAATTTTGAAGCTTATCAGAGCTTTTAATTGATCTCTTGATCAAAATTATAGAAGTAATGTATAAAGAGTGAGAGACATAAAAAGTACAAAATTGAATTGGATTCACTCAGTAAAACATGAGCTGCAATTTGTTTTGATGTTTTTAGACTTAATAAAAGGAGAAGTAAATGTCAGAAAATAAACTCAACTCAGGTTAGAGATTTATATTTCATATGTGGAAGTTACCAGACGAATTCACAGTGGACTGATGAATTTTATAGCAAGCACAATGATTTAAAGGTCTGAACAGCTCATTATTTATTTTAGTCATTTATTTTTTTTTCAAGTGAACCCACAATTGGAGATAGATTTAAGCCGTGATGTCTGCTACAATTCACTGTTTCACTGTAATCACCTACAATGCATTGCTATGGAATGCGCAATATAATCGGAGCTCAGATGAATCAGGACATTGCGGATAGCAAGAGACGTAATCCGATGAGTCAATAGAGGAATCTAGGAAATGATAGATTAAAAAAGAACAGAGAGAGCAACTTTATGCTTCGTGTCTAGTGCTGTTGTGTTAGACTACAAAGACAAAATTTCTTGAATATGTATTAAAAAAGATGAAGGTGATATATGGTTTAATTAGTGTGGTATAGCAGTCTCCCCTTCTGTGAGATGAGGGACTACACTTCTGATAAAAAATTTAAGAAATACTCTTGCTGTAGAAATGATAAAGTTTTTCGAAGCAGAAGTTGATACAGAAGTTAACCTTGTCAAGGATGAACTTGAAGAAAATCAGAGGGTAGATATGGCCAATTTGTATTTGAATATAGAAAGCAAAGAAAAAAGAAAGACAAAAAGCCTCCTATCTTTTGTTTTCTGTGAATGGGTTAGCAAATCTATACTTTCTATGTTGAGGAATGCCAAACGATTTTAGTTAGTCAGTGAAGTAGTTGAACTGGTAGTCGTACTCGTGCTTACCAGCAGTTGAATAGATGAGACAGATAGAGGAAGGTTCCCCTAGTCAAGATGGAGCCGACCTCCCTAAATCACCCAGAATGATTTTTGTTGTTTTCCTCCTGCATAGAAGATTATCAGTGTTGTACCATAGAATAGAAACAGGACCAACTCTACAAGTTACATATAAGGAAGGGGTTTTCCATCCTGTCAGTATTTTCTGTGAGATTTTTTTTTCCATGCATTGATTAAGTAAATAAAAGATGAACAAATAAGGCATATATCTTTCTACCACACAAGTTTCTTAAAAGAGATATTGTTTTAGCATTGTGATGAACATTTTAGTCTCATGTTCAAGTCATTTAGTCACATCTTACGTACATTCATCACTCAGACTACCTTCCTCAAGTATTTGTCCAGGGAATTCACCGAAGAATTTGTTTTTATGAATCAGTTTAACAGCAGTCCATAAAGTGGAGTTGGAGTTCCCCAAAGTCCTTTTAATATATCCCCTCTTTGCCTCTCCTGTGATTTACAAGGGCCACATTGTTAGATCTTAGATGCATCCCTTATTCATTGCCCACAGTTGGTCACAACAAAAGTTCATGAATAACTTTTTTTTCTCTCTCTCCCCTAATCCCTCCAATTGATTAAACTTTGCTGTGACATTCTGTGTTTCGCAATGGAATTAAAACTATTCCAGGCATCTTGGAGACAAAATAGATGAGGAATAGATTTTTTAAAATATATATATATATTTTTTAATTCTACCTAGAGCCCTGAATGTCTGATTGTTGTGTGTTGTAATGTTGGTTTCTAGAGCAGTGCCAAGTACACAGACACATAAAAGACCCTCATATCTTAGAATAAGTAGTCTGATTAGTGTTTAAGAAAAGATGATTTAGTAAAGTTGTTTCTAGGAGACATGCAAGTAGTTAGATGAGGTTTAGATTAGTTGTTTAAATATCATAGATATATAGGTTGATATTTAGATAAAGATTGTCAGAATAGGAAAGGATCACCATGCATAGATTGCTTTTTTATACATGTATTAGTAATACAGTTAGACATGACAGAATCCATTGTAGGTAAATTTATAAAAGACTTACAGTGCACTTCTATAGAAATGGCAACAGGCACAGTCTTACTTATATATATATGATTCCATGTTTTAGGAAGGAATTGCAATACACTTTATTTTTATTTTTATTTTTTAATTTTTTAGAGGAAGAGCACTGTTGTTATTTGGAGAAGTAAACTCTCCTTTGAGTATGAAACAAAGGAACACTTTTATATAATTTGTAATGCAATATGTTCAGTAAGGTTTATTGCACATGACTCACTGCTTGTACTTTCAGCTAGAATTACATCTTCACATACACCTATAAGACAGTTTTCAGACTTAATTAAATATAATTCCACAGAAATTGTCTGTACTTATGAAAACGACCACACACATTCCTGCATATCTGTGATGATGAACAGTATCATAACAACAAGAAAAACACAAGATAATGATAGAACAAAGTGATCAGAAAAGATACTGATAAGTTGAAGAATGCAGCTTAGAAAAGGGCCTTATGATTGTAATGATTTTAAGGCGAATAAGTGAAGGTGCTTCTTGAAATGTAATACGGGTGTATGCAGAAGGATTTGATTCTGCAAAAGAAAAAACATAGATAAACTTTTTTGTCTATAGGTGAGATCTGAAAGACAACTTAGTAAAGGAGAATATTATATTCAAAGATGTATGGAGTTTCCTTTTCTTAGATGATGATTAATGCCCAGCTTCTGTAATCTATTAAGCTTAAACATCTTAGTGTAGATATATCTTCACTTGTATTTATCAAACCTAATTGTAAACATAAACTTGGCATGATAGGGAATGTGCGACACCACAGCACACAAATCACCCACACACACACACACACCAGTATCCCACAACACACTACACCATACGAAGGACCATCACATCACCACAGCCTTTTTTAGAGTGAAATTCATATTCGACCTCGTTGGTGAAGCCCTCGATGGTTTTTCTCTATACCGACCACACACCATCTTTCTGTTTTTTCATCATCACATACACGACCACAACCACACACACACACACACCACACAAACACCACACACACATGCACCACACATACACATTTACATTACATATAATTACATAGACCCATATGTATAGCGTGTTATATATATATGAGGTATATATAATTTAATATTATGGTATAATTACTATATATATCTAGTATATATATATTGTTAGTTTATATATTGTATATTAATATATATTATTATAATAAAAAAGAGTAAGTAAATATATTTGTTATTTGAGACGCCTTATTATCTCTGATTTATTATCATTAGTATTCTAGTCGTATTATCGGCATTACCCTTTAAATTATTTTAGTTTGATACATATTAGATGTTCTTGTATATGTTTTATTAATCCTATATATTATGTTATATTTTCGACTCATCCATAACTCTTCATATGGTATATCAATATTTGATAATTATTAGTTATATGGTATAATATAGTTTGTTAGTTATATTTGGTTTGTTGGGTATACTATTGTATCATTATTGGTATTATGCTATCATCTATATGTATTAACATTATACGTATATAATATATAATACACCATATACATATACCCATATATCA